AGTTTGTGGAGTTCAGTCATTGTCAATTTCAAATGACTGGCTCATGTTTGGCTGTGATTTTATGAGMATACCAGACATCACAGTTTTATGATTTTATTTTCTGTTTTGGTTCTTTTTTCTTTTCTTTAAACAGTCGCATTGATTCTTCTCGGAGAAAAATATCCCAGAGGTGCTTTCTAACCTAGAATTATCTCTCTCYTGACTTCCCCGAACTTTACCTTGTTATGTCTACTGTGTTTGTGAAGATCGTTTAACTTGTTGAGACAGCCGAGGCCACTCATTTAAACACCATCAAGTTAAAGTGCACAAACACTTATAAACACAAAGTTGCTTTTCACTCACTTCTGAAGACATGACCCTAACTTCCACTTGTTTCCTCAAATAACCCCTAACAAAAACATTCAGAAAAATAAAAAGCATTTTACCCCTTTTTTTTCTAAATGACCTGAGGCTTTTCTACCCCAAATTGATTTTTTATATAAAAACGTTGTAGCTACTTTTTTTTAATCGGCTAAACAAATATTTATTTATTTATGGTCCAAAAATGTGTTTATTAAGAATATCAAATTTTACAATTAGATTTTTTTGTTTATTACCAATACATTAGAGCAGTTCTTCACTAATAAATACTGCAAAACATGAATCATCTGATAGATCAGTTTGTGATGTTTAATTTTAAGCTTAAGGAAATCTTCACACAGCAGACATACTGTATACAGTATAAAACCTGTAAACGTACAGTGTCAGTGTCACTTCCCTGAAAAACGGCATGTATTTTCTCAAACCACAGTAGCTAAATACTGTATGTGACTCATTGTTCCTTGGAAAGCAACTGAAGCTACCCCGCTTAAAGTGTTTACATGGTGGACGACTTTGCTCAAATATGAGTACTCTTTAAAGGAAAATTGAAAAATGTGTCTATATTTGACTTGCTTATGTTGCTGATGCTCATTTCATTGGCTTCAGCAGTTTTTACAGCTCAATGATCAACTAAACAATCAACTGCCCTTCCTGGATTCCAGGAAAAACTACAATTTTAGTCCTAGTTCTGTTTGTATCCTTTTTGGGTTTTTTCACTGAGCATTTCCTGTTAAATAGCAGATTTAGTGAATGTTTCCATGTTAGTTTGGAAGATGTGCTATTTCTGTTGGCACTTTTAACATTTCATGACTAAATAAGCAAAAAGAAACATGTGATATTACCTATTACCTCTACACTCCTTTAATTAAGAAGCAAATCTAAGTAAATTTACGTTTAGGTTGGAATATAATATGTTCTGAGGCTGTGAGGTCAGCAGGTCCAACAGGAATTTCTAAAATTACAAGACAGAGATAAGGCTGTATAGGACACAGTTACATTTACTGTGCATCCAAAATATTATTAGCATTTGTTGATATTTCTCTCCAGAGTAAATTTTTCTAAATATTTAAAAGTGATGGAGCCAGCTGGGTCTGTGCTGACGTTTCTCCAGGTCAAAGTCTACAGCAACTCTAAAAATAAATATTTTTATCTATCTTTATAATTCATATAAAGCTATAAAATGTATTTAATATGAGACAATATTTGCTTAGTTTAAAAACACCAAATTGTACTGAACACCAAGCATTTAAGGTAAAAAGCTATTTTTTGCACAACCCTCTGCAAAAACGGTCACTTCCTTCTGCGAGCCCGTTTATCCTTTGAAGTGCTGATGTTTAGTTTTAGAAGTCCTTTATTAAACTTGAGATCAACAAATCCAGTTTTATGGAAACTGGAAGAGGATGTCGTGTAGTCAACAAAGCTCTGAGGTAAAGGAAAAAAGCCCCGCTATTAGCTTGTCTGAGTCAATAATAAAAACAGCTGCAGACGGTGGAGACAACGTGTACAAAACCTGAGGTCAAGCACAAACTGGAAGAGCTAAATCAAATCATCACTATGGATCTAAATTTACTATTTATAATAATTTCAAAATTATAAATTAAATCATAAAGAAATGAACTGACTAAGTAAATGAAGTCTGAATGCAAAAGTTACAAAACACAGTTTTCTTATAATGTTGGTGAAACAGAAAGTATTAAAAGTATACAGGTATAAAGGCAATTTTGAGGTCATGTTAGGTTTTTTTGGAGGAATTTATTTTAGAGTCATTTTATTTATTTATTTATTTAGTTTTTATCTTCTAATGATTAAAAATGGGTTAAAATAAAGTTTACGATTTGACAAACATAAAACAGTCACATTTTGCTGAGTTTCAACTAAAATCTGTTTGTTTGTTTGTTTGTTTGTTTGTTTGTTTGTTTGTTTGTTTGTTTGTTAGTTAAGATACATGCTGAAAAACATCCTTAAATTAGTTATTTTGTTTTTAAATCATCACATAGTCCTGTTTTGTTTTAAAGGACTTCATGCACCTTACAAGCCAACCTGGACAGGAACATCTGCTGCAGACAAAAAATAAATAAATAAAAAAAGGAAATCAAAGCAATGGGAAGACTAAAGGGTAAATGTTTGATGTTTAATGTTTTGAACACTTTTTACTCTGCAACAAAAAATGAGCAGCACATGCTTCTAGCTGTCAGGAGCCCAAAACATGTAACTTTAAACTAACCATCTGAGTTGTCATTCCTTCTGCAGGGGTCATCCACAACAAGTGAAATCACATGAAAGATTTGGCTTTTGTTTGTCCTTTCCTGATGCGACCTGCACCCTCAGAGTTACAAAAATCACGGTACAGACCACTGAGCAACGTCTGGAAGAACGGGCTTTGGCCTGGAGGGGGTGCGCCCTGGGGGCCTGGACCTCTTTGCCCTTTCCTGGATCTGCTCTGGTGTGGTGGGTGCCGATGGGGCCCATGAGTTTGTCGCTGCTGGCCCCGGGGGCTGTACGTGTGGTCGCTGGAGGGACTCTCCCAGTTCTCCCCTATGGTCTGTTCTGGGGGGTGGGTGGGCAGATCTTCCCGTGCGGGTGCCCCTTGGTGCTCTGCGCTCGGGATCCCTCTCGGGCCCTTGGGCTCTGGTCTTTCCTATGTCTGCCTCGTGTCTTGGGGGTTGGGTCTCCGGTCCTCCACAGACACTATTAAATATTCCATGGGAGAAATCTTGTATATACACGCATGTTCACAACTGCTCACAAACAGGTGTTCTGATCCGGGGGTTCTGACTGGTCACTGAGTGTGTATACAGTATATGTCTGTGTGTATTTACTGACAATATTTATGAATGTAGGCATGTATGCATGTATATCTTTACATATGTATGAGTATGTGTATATTTTTATATATGCCCTCCATGTATTTATCCATTTATTTTTCAGGTGAGCGGACAGATGTTGGGTGTGTGGTCCTGTGTTTTGTTGGTGTTTATTTAATATACTTCTAATCGCTATTTCAGTCTTTCTATCTTTCTAATTACTTCTCTCTCTGTTTTTCTCTCTGTCTCTATTTTCTCTTCACTTAAAAAAGAAAAAAAAAGTCACTGATGATGAAGAAATAAATTAACTAAATAAACTAATATTTGGGTTCGTTAAAATTAATTTTAAAAAATCACATGAAAGATTTGGCTATTGTTTAATACCGGGCCCTTTCCTGATGCAACCTGCACCCTCAGGGTTACAAAAATCACGGTACAGACCACTGAGCAACGTCTGGAAGAACGATTCCATACTTTCACAATCTCAGACGTTGTCATATTATTTACTCTTATGAGAATTCACATAAATTGAATCATTTGATAATTTGATAAAAATGGATAAATCTTTCCTACTGTTCCTCTTCTTTTCAACAAGGCAACAAAACTAATAATTGTGACAAATTAAACACAGTTTGCTTGGAGATTGTTTACAGTGAGAATGTTAAAAGTTATTGTTTAATGAAGTAGAGGTGTTTTTTTTTTCAATCTCTTGAATGAAATACTATGGCCAAAAGACAGAATCTCTCCTCTGTTTGTTCCATTTTTAACATCTTGTTTAAGCCAAATGAGCTTTGTGTTCTGATATCTGCTCTCAATCCTGCWAATGCTCATTACTGCATGAAAAGGTGTGAGGTTGATAAGATTTTTAAAAGTAGCAGTGTAGAAGCGTGAGTCCAACTTGTTTTAGGATTTTTAGCCATTTTAAAAGAGTCAACTCTTGCATTTTGACTGCTGTTTTCAGAACAATTCTCTAAGCTGTATCTTGTGGTTTCAGTGATAGAACCAACAGTGTTTTTTTAGTTTTAGAGACGATTTATGTTGCAGGAGCCAAACTCTCCTCCACACACATCAACAGAAAAACACGCACTAGMGCATCAACAGCTGTTTTTTGCACAGGCAGAGGGAGAAGCACTCACACTCAAATATACAAATATCATCTTCCGTTTTTATTTTATTATTATTATTTTTTTGGTAGATCTGTACGTTTATATAACAGGTCAGATTGCTGCAGAGCATGCATAATAGTCAAATTATGGCAACACTTCTGTCAGAGTGTGAATTTGTTTGCTGCAGAGTAACTAAGCTGCTGTGGCTTTCATGTGGTGCTACAGCAACATCCAACAAGTTATCATTTCACAGAAATGAGATGTGTGTACACTTTTTATGGCTATAAAAGAAAACAGTCTCGTAAAATCTGGCAGGACCAGAGTCTGTACTGGCTTGTAAGTTTAGGAGGGAAAAGAAGAGAAGAAAAAAAAAGGCAGCAAGGCCTCTGACTTGGATCTAAAGCAGGAAAAGAGGGATCTTAGAYGTCTGTAAATCACTCGCTCTTAATTCATTCCTTCAGTCTGTGAGACAGTGCAGGCAGACTTTTTTACTAGGGAATTGTTAATATTGTGAATGCTCACAGGGAGGTAAAAAATGTGCAATTACTAGTTCTGTAGATGTAAGCTATGTAAAATACAGGGTACAAAAGGACATTGCAAACCTTGCAGAGTATATACAAAAGCTTCGATGACTGCAGTCAACCCCCATCAAGTGATCCATTTTGTGTATAAGCACAGTGTGTATGTATACATGCACAAGGCTTTGATATAAATTTTGGATATTTTAAAGGGGCATATGCAAAATTCACTGTTTTAGCAATTAAATGCATTGTGTAGTGTAATTGAAGGAGTGCAGAAAAGTTTAATTTATTTTCTCTCGATGCTGCACATATTTTAAAGTCTGTTTGAGTCATACTTTTTCAAGTTTGTCTTTTTTCTATGACGTTCTCTGAAATATTATGTCACAGTTTTTGCAACGGAATTGCAAATAAGGTCTGGATTGACAATTTGGTCATTTTAATTCTCCTCTGGCTCTGGGTCAAACTCTGGTTCCAGCATGTAAGGCTGGATGGATAAGTCTTTCCTTGCTGACTTCTTTCAATTATTTTGTGAATAAAACATATTGGCGCCGCTATATAGTCGTAAACTCCTCTGTCGAGCTAGAAAGGATCACAATGGAAAATAAAGGGAGGCGGGGTGTGAAGCGCCTCGTTTAGGTTTAAAAAGACAGCGTCAAAACGAGTTGACTCACATCAGAAAAGGGGTGAATAAGGGGCTTGCGGAGTTACAATAAGGAGGAATTCAGACCAAAGCATTGCAGTTCAGTTTTATATAGAACACAACTGAATGATTCAAATGTAAAAACAAAAGATTTAAAGCATGACGTGTCTCTTTTAAGTTGTAAAGTTTTTAAATACCAATAGCGCTGAATACCACATTTTTCCATATTTTTCTAAATTCTCAACAACCTTACTTCCTAAGTCACTTTTTACACCAAAATCAATCTATACTGACCTCTCCATCGGGATTCTGGGTTGCGATGAGGTTCGTGACCTGGCTCTGTGATGGTCTCTGGGGTTGCAGGGCTGCCAGTTTGTTCTTTAGCTCCTGGTTCGCCTTCCTCATCTGCTCTAGCTCGTCAAGCCGAACCCTGTCCTCTCGTTCCTTTTGTTCCCGGAGGTTCTCGATCACTCGCTCCTGAGATGGTGAGATTACAGTTGAAGTGAGCAGACACATTTCATATTCTGCATTAAAGGTTGGCTAGATTTACAATATACAGAGGGATTTTGTTTTGAATCCAGCGTAGCCACGTCCTGTGGGAATAATTCTTCCGCATCAGCGCGGAAAATTTTAACCTGATCGAAATGGATCACAGGAATTCTTTGCAAAGTGTGGCGAAAGACAATGTCATAAATGCAAATCATAAATAATACTAGCGCAAATAATAGCATCCATATGGGGAGATCAGAGCCAAGTACAGCTCACGGAAAAGGATAAAGGAAGAGAAATGTTTCGAGACAGAAAGAGATTTATTGAGAAAGAACCAGACAGGTCTGTAGATAACTCCTAACAACTTCACACTGCTTACCAATGAACCTAATCGGCGTTGGTTAGATCATGATTTTTTTCTACCCTGTAATCACACTCAACAGCAGGACCTTGGCTTTAGGCATTGGCCTGAGACCAGATGCACACTGTTTGTAGCTGAGCATGCAGTGTGTGTGTTATGTGTGTGTGTGTGTGTGCGCGAGTGTTTAGATGTGGACTGAAGTGATTACTAAGGTATTTATTCAGGTGTTTATTTAGGCTCAGATTTCAGTGCAGCCATGAGGCTTATGATGTGGCACTGCTGCATGATTGGCAGGTTTAAATCCTAAGATTACTGGACAAAAACATTCTCTAACAAGACTTGGCATGGTACAGCCCTGCAAAGTAGGCAAAAGAGACCACTTGGCTAATAAGACCTGGGTGTTTCACCCYCAAATTATGAAAAATCTCAGAGCGAAAGACCCGAATATAACAATAAAGCCTGCCTCTATCAGACACCTCAATGGGAACCATACACAAAAACCACAGAAAATATAAGCTAACAGACAGACACACACAGTAAACACACACATACACTAAAGAGCACAAACACATTGCCCCAGTCTGTTAATTACAACCACAGTGCTGTGGCCATGCGACTGGCTCCAAGAGCAGCTTTGTGACAGAGTTTGTGATTAGCAACACACACTCTCACCCTTGTAAACACATTACACACACCCTGCGCTGACCACAAAATCTGAAAAAGCTTGCCAACATTCTCCTCATCACAGCTGAATTATATGTAGGCTGCATCAGAAGTGGTTTCTGGGTAAACAGATGGGCTGATGCAGAGAAGAGGTTTWCAGTTTATTGTGCCATTATGCTTTTCATTTCAAAGTCGTAGGCAACAAAAACAAATTTTAGGTGGATAAAGATCACTGTAAGTGAAAACATCTATGTTGTGCAAAACACATAAGCTAACATCTAATTTATTCCTAAATAGAGCTTTGTGAATGCATTATTTGTTTTCCATTTACTGATCTTATTTATTCTTGTTTGTTTTGTACAACTGGACACATTAATATGAATCAATAGAAACCAGAGTAACTGGTTTAAAAAACATTAATTTGTACAGATTACAGCTTAAACATTTTGATTGATTTGATTTGATTTATTTATTTAACAGGAAAATATTGTTAAAAATCAAGCCTGATTCAGCATTATTG